TAAACAACGAGACAAATTAAGTCATATAAATGGATTTAATTATGATATCAGAATGATTCAGGTATCAAAATGTAGCTTTTAAAGCCAAGAATCTGAAAATGTTATTAGGTCATTTTAACCAAATTTGACTTAATCCTCATTTGGATATGATGGGTCACATACTGTATTTAATATACTGTACTGTATTTGTATTTTATATATAAATATCCTCTTTAATCAAGACACCTTTTCTTTTTATCTTGTTCTTTTTTTCCTAATATTTCTCAAGAAACTCTTATAGACATTAATTAAACCCAAGCAGCAAATCAAAGTGCTTTTGTAATTACCTTTATTTTTTTAAATGTGGGCATGTTATTTGTTCAAGTTAAAATGCTTTTTGGTAAAAAGTTTTTATGGGCTGTTGCTAATTTCTCAGCTACAGTTTGTAACTATGATATATGTCATGAGTATGTTATGGGGCCACCCTACTTGTTCTTGAAAACAGTAAAGATAAATAGATCAAATTTGTTAATTTTTTTCGCCTGGTTTCTGTTTGTTTTTACTGAACATTATTTTGGTCATTATATTGCTGGTTAAATTACTGCTCTTAAAACCTCTACACATTGTGTCAGTCCTTATATTTACACCAGGTTAATCGTCTTTCCATCAATAACTAGTGGGCCAGTGTCTGCTCAAAATGCCGAGCCGAGTTTTTGTCCCAGTCTAGCCCCGAGTGGGGCTGCCATGCACCACCACAGGAAAGGTGGGTAAAATGTCTTGCCCAAGGGCACAAGACGGAGACAACGGGGGATTGAACCAATGACATTCCCGTTCCAGTGCGACTCCCTAACCACTCCACCACAGCCACCCCAATAGTAAAGAAATACAAATCAGTGTGTTACCTGGACCCGGGCCTCACTTAGTCTGGTCCGTTGGGCTAGCTCTTCTCGGGTGTAGATATCAGGGTAGTGTGTTCTTTCAAAAGCCTTCTCCAGCTCCTCTAGTTGTTCTGCTGTGAAGGTGGTCCGACTGCGGCGCTGTTTTCTCTTCAGGGGGAGGTCAGGTTCTGACTCCACATCTGACCCTTCATCCACTCTGCTTCCTGGACCCTCGGAGGAGACGCATACCTGGTTAATGTTCACATTTTAATATGGACAACAAATAAAATACACAGAATTTTAGGACATATCTGTCATGCTTTACCCTTTGTCTTTATTTCAAGCCAAGAGAAGTTTGAGTATACTGTATGAAGTGCCGAAGTGGACAAAATGTATGCCAGTTCTGGATCACTATTCATCTGGACAAAAAAAACTATCTCACCCTTTTTTTAAATTTCTTTATTCATCCAACCAAAATAAAACATTTATTACAGGAATAACAACAGATGTGTAATTTTTTTTATCACCCCCCCCCATCCATCCCCACCTTGCTGCAATAAAGATAAAATAAAATAAAAATAAATAAGAAATAATAATAAATTAACAATTATAATCAAACAACATTTGCAC